GGGTTCTTGATATTGTGAGTTCGAATAGCTAATGTGATTTGGCCTTGTTTAATCCAATTTTTTTTTCTTTTTTGTCCCCCAATATTATTTCATTCATTTAAGCCTAATATATTATAGTTTTTTTTTTTTAAACATGTGCGAGTAAAGATTCGAACTCACTATTTTTAGATAAAAATAGGTGTTTTAGTCGATTGAATTATGTTCAAATTGTCTAAAAATAGGTGTTTTAGTCAATTGAATTATGTTCAAATCGATGATAAGTTAATGTTTAGGTTATAGTTCCTTTAAATATTCCAAGTAATGTTTTTGTTTTATTCATGAAAAAAATAGCAACAGGTGGATGTCTTATGACCCTTGATTCTGTTTCTAAAAATTAAACCTATGAAAACTAATTATATATATACTCTGTTTAGGGCAAAATATCAAAGAAGTATATATATTATATATGTATTTTGACAAATGTTTTTTACATTTATTTTCATAATTTTGAGAGCAGAAGCAACTTTTAGAGCAAATTCAGATAAATTGATCACTTTGCAAGGGAGTGTAGGGGTTCTTTAGGAGCACTTGTCTTTTATATACGTTGTGTGAGTTTTGTTTCATTTTTCGAAAAGCCTGACATAATAAATTTTACTAGTTCGATTATATTCATTAAAGTTTTAACTTTTACTCATCTTAAAAAATATTATATATTAATTTTTTTTTCTCTTGCAACATAACATTACATCTTGATAAAAGATTCAAATTTTTTATCTAAAAAATGTTACCGATGCAATTAACCATTTAATTATGCTAGAGTTAGAAATAGTAAAAACATAAATATTAAGTTTTAGCCCTGTACTTAAAAGAGTAAATAAGTACTTTTAGATTTACAAATAAATTAGATTTTTAAGAAAATCTTAAATAAAGAAATGGAGATAGGTCGAAATTCTAATTTTTAACTTTTTAACTTTATATATATGTCGCTTCTCACAAAAAAATCTATCATCCACAACATTTTTGCTATAGTTGACTCAATGTTTAGTAAAAGTGTTATAGCTTTTGCTAGGGTTTGACTCAAGTTAAGTAGGAGAGTTATTTGTTTAGGGACGTAGAATTATTTTACGTTTTTTTTTTTTAATTTCAAAAGTAAAAATAATGATTGATTTAAAATATGTTTTTTTGTTTTTTAGACTATGATATCATAATCTCAAAATTAATTAGTTACAAGAAGAGCCGCTCATATCAATATTAATAGGGTTCAATCTCAAAAATCAATTCATTACGAGAAGAGTAGTTTAAGGATCCTTACATTTTCATCCCTTTTAGGACGGATCCAAAGAGTAAATTTTTTCGTAACATGTTAATACGAAAAGTTCTTTTTACTTCTTTTTAAAATTTCATTTGGATTGTTCAGGTTTAAAATTAATATTTTACTTTTGCCTCGAGACTTTTTATAATGCTTATTTTAGCTAATGAAATTTTTTATTTATATTTTACATATAACTATAATTTCTCTCTCTCTCTCTCTCTAGATTTGGGCACTTCCCTTTCTAAACTATTTTTTATCCAACAAATATATGTCAGTTTAAAATCAACATTTTTTCTCTTTCAACTATTTTCACTATTAACTTTTCTTTTATTTTTTATTTATTTTTTCTAACAAATATATTTCAAATTTTTTTGTCTAACATTTTTTCTCATCATAATATTTTTCTTTCTCTCAACTTTACTTTCTTTCTTTCAAATTTCATATTTTTGTCTTTAAATTTTGTTCTCCAACTTTTCTTTTTCTAAATTTTTTATTTATCTTTCTAAATTTACTCTCTCTTAAATTTCTTTTTAAAAAAATTATTTTATCTCTTTTAAACCATTTTTTTTATTGGGAGATGACAAAATTCCCCACTACGCACTCCAAGAATATGACTCTATTTCCCACCATGTCCAAACCCCTTCCCCAATTCTACTTTACTAAATTATTAATAAAAATATTATATATTTTATAAAGTTAATTTTTTATACTAGTAAATACTTTTTTTAATTAAATAGATAAAACTTTTATATATATGACTTATTTGTTTTTCTCAATCTAAAAAAATAAAATTAATTATTAAACCAATAAATTTTTTTCAAAGACATTCGTCTTGAAACGAGGATTCCTCAAGTTGAACCTAAGTTCTCGAAATCAGGAATGAGGTGGAGACAAAAATTAAAGGTTTCTACTAGAACGGGTGAGGAGGGCATTCCCACTCACACCCATCATATTTTCATCTATATTTTACATATATTTTTCTCTCTCTAACATATTTCCTCGATCTAACTTTAAAAATATAAATAAAAAATGGTATTTGTTTAAAAAAATAAAATAAAAAGAGTTATCAAATATAATATATATATATGTGTGGTTTATCTTTTAAAAACATAAAACTATAAATATATAACATAAAACATAAAAATCAAAAATAAAAATTGTTAGAAGAAATCCATTTTCTCTCATATTTTAAGGCCGTTTATACCAATGTGAAAAACCATCATATTCTTCAACAAATTGAACCTTCAAATTGGAGATATTATTTATTATGATCCTGGTTGATGATCTGCGTGTAAACGACAGAAAAGGAAGTTTGATTAGGTTTCTTGATGAGAATGAATTAGGAAATAAGAGAGTTTAGAAGAGAAATTCAAGTGATTGCCCGAAATTTTCTTGGAAAAATCACTAATATTTGGAGATTAAAGAGTGGTCTACAAGTCTAAAGTGTCAAATTTGATTGGCAGTTGCATTAATGTCCAACAAATTTGGAGCAAAATCACAAATTCTTGAATTTATCATCACATTTGCATTTTTTCGTCCTATTGGACATCGAGATCCATACGCCCCTAAAGCTAAATTCATTAGCATTTATAAATTTTAAAAATACAGTCTTCTCGTAGTAAGATTTCAATAAGGAAAATATGACATGATTTAATTTGGTTTTAACTCAAAAGAAGAACAAAAAAAATTACAAGATTGCTTTCCAAGAGATGATGATTCTAACATGGCATCACAAAATTGTCTCTTTGAAGAAACCAATTTTAAACTTACAATGTGTTTAGAAGAATAAGCTCTTTCGAAAAAAAAAAAAAGAATAGTAAGCTTAAAAGTGATGTTATCAATAAAAAATATTTTTTATCAACCAAATAAATAAATAAATAATATTTTGAAAATATGATATTTATTATTATTATTATTATTATTTAAATCCAAATGGTTAGGATACATGGAATTAAAGAAAGAAAAAAAAACTCCATAAGCGAATCTCCTGAGACTAAACCTATTCAAATTATGTGAAAAGGAAGATATTTTCCAACAAGCAGACGCGGGACAGGAATTGCTCAAAGCAGCCCAATTTGCAACTTAATTAAGCGACGTTAACTTTATTTTTCTATTATTTGATTATTATTTTTCTTTTTATTTTTGTTTAGTTTAGAAAATTTAGAATCCTGACATGAAGGCTCCACCTTTCATGCGGAATAATTAGGGGCAATTATTTTTTTTGTTTTTTTTAAATCAAGATTTATTTTATTCATTTACTTCCATTTCATAGATTCTCGTAAATGGAAGTTTGACAACATAAATCCGTTTTTATTGATTACCGTAAACTTCAATTTATGTATAAGTTTAGAGGAATTAGGACAAGAGGTTAAAGTTTGTAACCTAATTGTTATTTTAAAATTTACTATACTGAAATATATTTTGAATCAAACCGACCTTGCATAAGATCGTGTCTTCACTCCACACTTTCAGATTCAGTTTTGTCTTCGATTGATTTTTCTCTACCTGAATCGAACCAGATTTTTAAGAGTCGGGATGAGTATTGCGTTCGGTTCATTCGGATAAATGAACCAACCAACCCAAAATCTCGGTTTGGTCCATATCTCCCTGAACCGATAACCCGTGTGCACCTGGTAAAGTTCTGTCCTTCATTTCGTCGCCGGCTACGAGTCAAAAGAATCGCGTAGTGCTGGTTCTGCCTCCGCGACGAGTCAAAACACGTCAGCCTCAAGCCGGAACTTCAAATTCCAAGCTGCCGTACTTCAATATAATTGATCTCCCACTTTTGTTTGTTTGTTTTTTTTTTCCAGGGTGATCTCTGCGTGAAGAAAGCGATTTTTCTTCTCTGATCTTCTTCTTGCAGACTCCCACAATTGGTGAACGATCTCTGTTTATCTGGTGAAACGAAGCGATCTAAAGGAGGGATTCTTGGTCTTGGACCATGTCGTTCTCTGATTCCGATTCATCTTCTTATGGGGGCGACTACAAAAATTTCAGGCAAATCAGCCGCGAGCGTGAGTTCCATATCTATCTTTCGCGCGTCCCCCGTAGTTTTAGACTGTTCTTGATCGTTGAATCACCTTGCTTGTGGCGGATATCTATTGGATTAATCCTCCAATGCGGTTTTGTTGTCTAGAATCTGTAATTATTCTATCACAGACCGAAATTAAATGTAATACTAAAACTTAAATTTTTCCTGGGAGAGGTTGGTGTGTTGCAACTGGTAGTTAAATTCAGATGATAAGGGGTTCAATTCTAGTCTGCTTATTTTGAAGTCTCTGCCTATTTATAAACTTGGACTTCAGGTTTTGCTCATGACTGTAATGCTGCCTCCTTAACTTGGTTTAACTTATGAGAGGGATTTGTGAAGCGGTTTTCATTTTTTTCACTCTAGTTATAAAGAAAAGAGGAACCGTCAAATGTCCATATGTTCCTGCTGGTTCAAGGTGGTTAATGTTTTGGAAGAAATCCAATGGAGAACCGTACTAAAATTGGCAATGTCATTCCGCATAATTGGATGTGCTAGAATGCATTCAATTATGGGATGGCATGCATCCTGGCTCTGGCATGTACGTAGCAGCTAGATGTGAACGTGTCAATGAAGATATATTTTATCTACTCTCACTTTTTTGGGGTTTAGATAAGCCATCTTCCACAAACAAATTGGAGGTTGGTTTAATTGTTCCTTGGAATTTACTTTAGCCGGTGAGCTGGCCGGTGACCACAAATATGATATGGAAATCCAAGGTATTGTTTACTTAGGAAAACCCGAGAGTTCCTGTTAAATTGTTAATAGAGCATAAACCTAGAGTTCCTGTTAAATTGTTAATAGAGCATAAATTTGTGGGTTGCTTTAGAGGTGCTTGTAAAAACATTCCTTTAATTCACTTACCTCCTAGCAACTTTCTTTTTGATGGGGAACGAAACTTTGATCATTATAAACTTTTCATGTTTTTATATCATTGTATGTTACAAAAGATCAACATTAGATCTTCTATCTTCCTAGATGGGTAGTGTATTGCATCAAGGCACCAAATAGACTGATTTACTTATATCTATTTCAAATTTACCTTCAGGATTGCTGCATGAGATGCTTCGATCTGCTAAAACAGGAGATTCCAAATCAACTTGGAAGGTATATCATATTCATAACCATATTATTCAAACAAATTAATTTTGACCAATTCATTACTCATCTTTATTCATTAAATAGATATGATGGGAGATGGGATATCCCCACATACTACAGGGTTATAAAAGAGACTCCCAATTGGCAAATATTTGCATCATGCCATAATTACAAATTTGTTCGATTGTGGACAATATCCATTGGTTTACTACAATCATCGTGAAAAACATTTGCTGCTAGAGAAGAAAAACCGCCGTGGACGTCGATGACTCTTCCAGCAAAGAAACTAATGTTCTTTGCTGTTGATATTTGGATAGTCATCACCTCTCCTCCTGGCCTAGACAACACAACCTTATAAAGCCACAATAGTTTCATTCCACTTTAATGGAGGCTTCTAGACGTTCTAACGTGTTTATCATCTCGGTTTCTCATTGAATGTAGCCTCCACATTGATTGATTAGTGATGTATGAAATTTCCTCTATACATACATCCAAGGAAGGTTTATGATTTAATCCACCCCATCCAAGGGGATAACTGTCATTATGCCATGATGAATGATTCTATCTTTCAAACTTTAATGTGAATGAACCAATCGTGACCCAAACAATGGCATGCCATTATGCCACAATGAATAATTTCTCCTTTCAAACTTCAATGCAAAGGAACCAATTGTGACCCAAACTTTGCTTAAGCATAACAACATTGTAGTTGTATCATCACGGCAAATAAGCAAGGATTTGTTTGATTCAAAAGGGTTAACCATTGATTTCTTAAACCAATCATCATGGAAGTTCTGTTGATAATGACTATGGTTGCCTTCCATCTGATAGAGAAGTTATCGGGTATTGCACCTTAAAATTTAAAGCTTTTGGATGAAATTTTTTTTTTCTTCTTTCTTTCAATTTTCGTCCTCTGGTCAATTCGATCCTCTTCCTTGTCTTTCCTAATGACATTTGCAAAGGAACAACCTACCTTGATGGGGTTAGAGCTAGCACTTTGTTTTGGGGTGGATTCATTTACTTTTGTGCATCTCGGTTGAAACTCTGAGGGGGAACCTTATGATCATCTCACCATAGCCGTCCAACCTTCTTTATTTTCAGCTGGGACAATTGCGTTTTGACTTTTACCATTACCTTCAAGTTTCATTATATTTGCAAAAAATCTTTTCTTGTTTGTGATCTTTTGCACCCAAAAGGAAGAATTGTGAGACCGCCATGTTCAGAAAAACTTGTACAAGATGGGATTGAGAGCCAAATTCGACAAATTGTCCATAGCCAAACCAATTCAGCTTTGAACTTAGCAATGGAGTAGGTCGCTAAAACTCCTCTTTCCTCCAAATTCATTGTTACTACTCTTGCAACTGAAATCAAGGACAAAACCTTGTGTTCTACAGACACTTATTTGCTTTTAGGGATGCAACCATTGTAGGGAGTTCGATCAGAAAACTTTATGAGTTGATAGGGTACAAAGTTGATCGACGGTGGCTGAAAGGGTTGAGAGAGAGAGCAAAAGGGGTGAGACTGGAAGAGCCATGCTTTTCCACTTATAAACTATGGTTTCTGGTTAGGGTTTCTAGGGAGATTGTGGCTTTGGAATTTTCGAAGTCTATTGTAGCAGTTTGCTTTTTACATGTTATTTGTTGAGTGGGTACATGAAAAAAAAAAGAATTTCCAAATGATTGACACCTTAAATCTCTTGGATTGCTCAGAAGCCCTAATTCAGGTGGAAGAGAACTTGTGTGGACTCTTACCAGCATCAGTTAAAATCAACACAAAGTTTGGCAGTATTGTAGTTCGTGTGGACTCTTACTTCATTTGCTACTATCCAAATGTTCTTCCTATTTTGGATAACATTTCGCCAAAACTTTTGTCTGCCTAAGGAAACAAATTGAGAATTGATCCTCAAACTTTAGAAGGTGCTAAGGTAGCCAAGACAACTGACGACCAGATTGATAGTAGCCCGACTCTTGACCCAGATTTACTGCCGCCTAGGACTATTATTCCCACCACCTCCCCCGGCCATTTTTTTATTCAAGGAAAAATAATGACTCTTCGAGGCAAGCAAAGGAAAGCAAAGGAAAGAGGAGGGTTCCAAAAGAGTGTTTCACTTCTCAGCCATGGTATCATCAATTCAACGAGTGTGCAGGCCAATCTACTTATCAAGGATAACGTTTGTCTAATGATGAAGAAGATTTAAATGTTAGTGTTAGTAGTGAAGATCCAGCAGAGTATTTGGAGGAGGAAGCGATTGTTAATGAAGATTTATAAGAGGTTTTCCTACGAGAGGAATTTAATTTACTTTTGCAGAGGATAATCACTCTTCTGCAAAAATAGATTTCATTCTTTCTCCCTCTCGAGAGCAGACTTTGGTAGTCGAAAAAGCTTCTTACGCAAAAAATCAAAGATTTTTAAATTTTTTTGAAGATCTTGGCCTTACCAAGATCCAATCATTGATTAGGTAGGGCTTTAATTATGGGCATCGGGTTTTTGGTTGGTTCCGCTTCACAGCAGTTTTGAGGGTTGAGTTTCTTTTGCTTTTGTGTCTTCTCTTGGTGGAGGGAGGTTTCAGTTTCTTTTCTTCTGGCGGCGATTAGCTTGTGTTAAGTGATGGTTTTGGTTTCCTCCTCAGCAGTTTGTCTTTTGTTTTGACGAGCTTTCTTGTAATCAGTGTTCATCTATTCTTGGGCTTCATTCTCATATTTTTATGGGTTTTTGTTTTCTATGTTCTGTTTGATTTTTCTTTTTCTTTATTCGCTTCCTTTGGGAGCTTGTATCCTTGAACTTTATTCTTCATTTTCATATTATCAATGAGAAAGTTTGTTTCTAGGTCAAAAAAAAAAAAATTGTAGTTTATGGAAGTTCTCTGTGTGTGTCTTCCTCCCCGTTCTCTGGTGAAATATCTACTGAGTTACCGTTATTTTATTTTCTTTTGAACCATTAAGAATCACTCGTTTTCTACACCACATTCCCTTTTACATTCCTTGGTGCTTGGATCTGTTGTTTGTAGGTTCTCATCATGGACAAACTTACCGTCAAGATAATGTCATACTCATGCAGGATGGCTGATATCACAGATGAAGGTGTTTCATGTAAGAAACACAAGAAAACTCTCTTATAAATTTTACACCAATGATTCTAGATGTTGTCTTCTGTGATTTACTCATGATGTGCAGACAATATACTGCATTTTCATGATATTACATGTTGCACTTACTGTTAAAAATGATTGGCACCGTACAGAGGTGGTTGGCAACTCTGGAAGTGAAAATTACGCAGGAATACCTTATGCACCAATTTTTTGCTGTAACTATCATCATTATTTACTTCACTGACTTAATTTGTTTTGGAAGTCTCACTCTTAATAAAGCACAAGATTATATACAACAACGTTGAATTACAATGATCTGTATCCCTAAGTTTTGAATTAGTAGGCAGTACATATGTTTGCAGTAATGATATATATTTTTAATTGATCCCGTCCATTACTCAAAGCTATTTATGTGCTATTTATATAAAGCAGAAAGGAGGAAGAATTAAAATTTTTTTTTTGATGTTTGTAATTATTTGTGGTAAAGTGTTAGAGAAATTCCTTTTGGAACGTAGTTTTTGGGCTTTGAAAATATCTGAATTGTTTTGGTGCTGCAGTGGTAGAAGACATATACAGACGAAGGCAGCCACTGCCATCCATGGATGCTATATATTTCATGCAGCCTTCTCGAGAGAAGTAATATACAATGTGTTATTTTATATGATTTATATAATTCCATCTGATGGCTATCATTTATTTGCAAATTTTAAGACCATACTTTGGCTTTATCTTTTGCTTTGGAAGGTTGGAACGTTATACTTCTTTTATGTTTGATGGATTCTTTATTAGCTCTTCTGCATTTAGAATTATTATTTTCTCTGTTTAATGGTTATGACTCAAATGTTTGTCTCATTCTGATTTTGTATTAGTTTGTGCTAATTGCTCATGCTCTTATATTACATAAACCGAAGTAGAAAAGAAAAAAGGTTCTATTTCATTTATCTATATGTATAAAATAGAGAAAGGTTCTATTTCACTGTAGATAAATGAAATAGAACCCCTTCAGGCAGAGGAGATTTTTCCACCTTCTAGGCAGAGGGACCCTCTTCCCTTTGCTTTTCCTTTCTTTTTTGCTATAATATCTTGTCTCTTTTCGAGGATAAATTCTTTTTTGAATAAACCCAAGAATGGAGTAAATTTAGGATTGTTTATCATTTTAGACTGTTGGCAAAAATTGGAGTTAAACTCTTCATTATCTCTCCCTTTTAAATTTGCAGTGTTATCATGTTCCTGTCAGACATGTCAGGGAGGTCTCCTTTGTATCGGAAGTATGCATACTCATTTACTAGTTATGCAATGCTTCTATTCAAGTATTTTTATGTAATAGTTGTTGAATCTATTTCCTTTTGTATCCTTGAAGGGCATTTGTTTTCTTCAGTTCGCCTATATCAAAAGAATTAGTTATTCACATCAAGAGGGATACAACCGTTTTACCTCGCATAGCTGCCCTAAAAGAGGTTACCAGTATTCAGGCTGAGTCCAACTCTGCTTGATTTTATTTTTTTTCCATTGCAGTCTGTTGTATATTTTTTTCCTTCAATTGTTAGATGGAACTGAATATTAACTTTTTCACCTTTCATTCCTTGTCAACATGCAGATGAATTTGGAGTACTTTGCTATAGATAGCCAGGTACCTCGTAGCCTACTTGTTTTTTTTTTGGATAAGAGAAAGATATATATTACAAAACAGCATAGAGACAAAAACAGCCTAAGGGCAGGGGGAAGAGGAATCCCCCTCCCAAAAACTAGTGAAGCATAGCCCTCCTGTCTTGTATAATCGACGAGATGCTATAATTACAAAAGAATTTTCTATGCCTAAT